GTTTAGGGGGCGGTGGGTAGGGGATGGGGCTGCGTCAGTCGCCAGGGGCCACATGGGGAAGGGGCCGCGCCAGTGACCGGGCAGAACGAGGGAGCGCCAGGGGAGGGGGCCACCGGGGAGAGACGATCGGGTGGGTGAGCGGCGGTCAAGGCGGCCGCGGGGTGAAAATGGGGTTTGGGGCGAGCCGGTGTGGCGCGCCTGGGCGGAGTGTGGCGCTCTGATGGATCCGCGCCGCCTCCCCTCTCAAACGCCTTGCAAGGACCCGTTACGTGCTTATTGGCTTGCCCGCCACCAAGCTGCACTCCACCTGATTGCACGCCCGTGCCCCTCCCCCCACCACACACACACGCACACAAACACACACACACACACACACACATGCGCGCGCGCACGTAAGCGTGCGCACTCACAATCACACGTGCGCTCACAGACACACACGTGCTTGGCACAGCCACGCAACTCACAGCCACGCCGCCTCACCCCACCCACCTCCTCGAGAGACCCCACGTCGTCCCAGGTGACGCCGGGCTTCGTCGTGAACCCCTCGCGCCGCACGCTGGGCTGCACCTTGGGCAGCGCCGCCTCAAAGTCCGCCATCGTGATGGCCAGCCCGTACAGCTCCGCCGCCGTCAGCGCGCCGCACCCCAGCCGCCGCGACGGGGGCTGCTGCTGCTGCTGCTGCTGCGCGTCCCGTTGCTCGAGCGGCTGCGGCGCTGGCGGGGCCGGCGGCGGCTGGCCATCCGGCGCGCCGCTGCCGGCCGCGGGGCCCTCCAACTGCTGCTGCTGCTGCTGCTGCTGCTGCTGCTGCTGCTGCTGCTGCTGCTGCTGCTGCTGCGCCGGCCCCTCGCCCTGCCCTGCAGGATTCGCGCTCCCCAGCAGCTCCAGCCGCCGCGCCTCCTCCTGCTGACCGTCGATCCGCCTGAAGATCCTCGTCACCGCCGCCGCGGCCGCCTCCTTTGCCAGCGCCGCCAGGTCAGCGCCAACAAAGCCGGGCGTGCGGCGCGCGATCGCGCCGTGGTCGAAGCCGCCGACGAGGCGGAGGGGGCGCGTGAGGACGCGGAGCATCTGGGCGCGCGCCGCCTCTGTTGGGATGCCAAGAGTGATCTCGCGGTCGAAGCGGCCGGCGCGCCTGCGGCGGCGTGTGCGGGGCGGGGCGTCGGGAGGGTGTTGGAGCGCGCGGCGTTCACAGATTGCAGGGGCCGTCGGTGGGCCGCGGCGGGGCGTCCGAGAAGGGCGGCGACAGCCGCGCCGGTGGGCGCGTGCGTGCGGGTGTGCGTGTGCGCGCGCGCGAATTGGAGGTGGGAGGAGGATGGGGTGCCCTCAGAAAATCTCCGTGAGATGTCCACGGCGCCCCAGCGCGTCGGCCGGAGCTTCAGAATAGCGTATATACATTGCCATCACGGGGCGTCCCCTCCTCGCTCGGTTGGCATGCAACTGTCTTGGACACACACACACACACACACACACACACACACACACGCACGCGCGTGCGCGCGCGCGCACGTACACACACACACACACACACACACACACACACACAAAAACGCACTCACGCACACACCAGCACCGCGCAGCCGCAACTACGGCCTGCATCCCAAGCAGCAACTGCCAGGTGAACGCTCTGCGACCCCGCTCCAGCCGCGGCGCGGCCCCCTGCGGGCGCGCACGTGAGCAACTTTCCCTCCCTCCCCAGAGCGCGCCCCCAGCGCGCACCTCAGGGCGGGGTCCAGGGCGTCAGGGCGGTTGGTGGCGCCAATCACCACCACGTGCGGCCGCGCCGCCACGCGCGCCGGGTGGCCGCCTGCGCCGCCGCCGCTGCCGCCTCCTTCTTGCGGCGGCGGCGCATCGGGATCGGCGACCAGGGGGGCTGCCAGGTCGTCCATGCACGTCAGCATCTGGGGGGGCGGGGGGTGGGGGCCAGCCGGGGTCACGCGGTTGGGAGTGGGCGGGATGATTGGGTTTCGCGGCGTCATGGCGCGGGCCGCGGCCTCGAGGGCTCCACAAAAAGCCATAAACCACTTGTTTTGGCCCCACAAACCTGTGCAACGATGCGGCGCTCCATCTCCCTCTGTGCGGTCTCCCTCTTGGGCGCGATGGCGTCGATCTCGTCAATGAAGACGATGCAGGGCGCCACGGCCACCGCCTCCTGCGCGGACGGGTGGGCCCGGGGGTGAGCGCGCGCAGTGCTGGCTCACGGCGGGCCCGGCCGTGGGACTGCGTCGTCTCGCGGCCGCTGGCTGCTGGGTGAGCGCGGCTGCCAGCCAGCCACCCTCCACGCTCCCAGGTGTAAGGTCAGCAAAAACCAACAGAACAGCTCATGATGCTGACTTACACCATCAGCAACGCCGGTTGTGCAGTATGCACGCACAAGACGAGCCGAGCGCTGCTGGAGCGACGCGGGGGCCCGCCTAAAGAAAGTCCCTGAAACATCAATCCCCCTCCCCTCGCCATTCCCCTGACTTTGGAAACCGCCCGGGCGCACCTACACCATTCACATGTGCCGGGGCTCCCCCCACCCGTGTCCGCAGGTCGCGCCCCCTTACGGGCGGCCCGCGGCCCGCGGCCCGCGGCCCCAGCACACCTGGAACATCTGCCGCAGCTTGGCCTCGCTCTCGCCGCTCATGCCGCTGACGACCTCCGGCGCAGACACCCGCAGGAACGGCACTCCGCACTCGTTCGCGATCGCGTGCGCGAGGGCGGTCTTGCCGCAGCCGGGGGGGCCATGCAGCAGCACACCGCGCGGCGGCTCGACGCCGAGCCAGGCGTACACCTGGCGGCACGGTGGGGCGGGGGCGGGGCCGGGGCCGGGGGTCGGGGACGTTGGTGGGGTTGGGGTGCAGGGGGTGGCCCCAAGTGAGAGAGGTTTCCGCTCTGCCTTCGCATATGGGGTGGACCTGAATCCAGAGGGGTTCAGGGTTTACTAAATCAGGGTGTGGAAGAAGCCTCAACCCATGACATCAGGGGTCACCCACCTCGGGGTGTTTCAGAGGGTACTCTATCGTCTCACGAATGTCGGCCAGGACCTCCTCAATGCCGCCCAGATCGCAGTACCGCAGCGGCCGCGGCGCAGACACCATGGACCCGCCGCCGCCGCCGCTGCGCCGGCCAGCGCCGAGGCCGCCGCCAAGCGCCGCCAGGCCGCCAGGGGCGCCTGCGCGGCGCGCCTTTTTGGCGACCTCTCTGCTTTTGCGGGGCGCGGGGGGGGGGGGGGG